GCCAGGAGCTTCATCCAGGTCTTCTACGTGGGTACAGAGGCCCAACACTTGGGCCATCCTCTGTTGCTTTCCCAGGTGCATTAGCAGACAGCTGGATCACAATTAGAGCAGCTGGGTCTCAAATTGGTGCCCATACAGGATGCCAGTGTTACAGGTGGAGGCTTTACCTGCTACGCCACAGTGCTGGCCCCACGAAACCTTCTTTCTTCTTCTTCTTCTTCTTCTTCTTTCTTCTTTCTTCTTTCTTCTTATTTTTTGACAGGCAGAGTGGACAGTGAGAGAGAGAGACAGAGAGGAAGGTCTTCCTTTGCCGTTGGTTCACCCTCCAATGGCCGCCACGGCCAGCACGCTGCAACCGGCACACCGCGCTGATCCGATGGCAGGAGCCAGGTACTTATCCTGGTCTCCCATGGGGTGCAGAGCCCAAGTACTTGGGCCATTCTTCACTGCACTCCCTGGTCACAGCAGAGAGCTGGCCTGGAAGAGGGGCAACTGGGACACAATCCGGCGCCCCGACCGGGACTAGAACCCGGTGTGCCGGTGCCGCAAGGCGGAGGATTAGCCTAGTGAGCCGCGGCGCCGGCTGCATCTTCTTCTTTTTTTAAGATTTTATTTATTTATTTGAGAGATAGAGTTACAGATGGTGAGAGGGAGAGACAGAGAGAGAGGTCTTCCAACTACTGGTTCACTTCCCAAATGGGCCACAACAGCTAGGAGCTTCCTCTGGGTCTCCCATGTGGGTTCAGGGTCCCAAGCATCTGGGCCACCTTCTACTGCTTTCCCAGGCCATAGCAGTAAGCTAGATCAGAAGAGGAGCAGCCAGGACTAGAACCGGCGCCCATACGGGATGCTGGCATTGCAGGCAGAGGATTAACCTACTGAACCACAGCACTGACCCCAAAACTCTTTTAAAAGTATATTTAGGGGTGGTCATTTGGTGAAGTGGTCAAGACACCACAAGGGATGCCCGCATACCATTTTGGAGTGCCTGAGTTGGGTCGAAGTCCTTGCTCTACTCCTGATTCCAGTTTCCTGCTCATATGCACCTGGGAGGCAGCAGGTGATGGCTCAAGTATTTGGGTTCCCACCACTCACGTGAGCTCTGGCCTTTGGCATGGCCAGATCTGGCTGTTGTGGGAATTTGGGGAGTGAGCCAGTAGATGGGAGCTCTCTCTGTCTCCCTCTGCCCTTCAAATTAATAAATAAAAAAGAGGCCAGGCCAGCGCTGAGGCTCAATAGGCTAGTCCTCCGCCTGCGGCACCACCACTCCAGGTTCCAGTCCTGGTCGGGGCGCTGGATTCTGTCCCAGTTGCTCCTCTTCCAGTGCAGCTCTCTGCTGTGGCCCAGGAGTGCAGCGGAGGTCCTTGGGCCCTGCACCCGCATGGGAGACCAGGAGAAGCACCTGGCTCCTGGCTTCAGATCAGCACAGTGTGCCAGCTGCAGTGGCCATTGGTGGTGGGGGGGGCTGTGAACCAACGGAAAAAGGAAGACCTTTCTGTCTGTCTCTCTCACTGTCCACTCTGCCTGTCAAAAATAAATAAATAAATAAAACAAAGAAAGAAAGAAAAAAATCTACTTAAAAAGAAGCCATTTGTCTTTCCTAGATCTGTCCACTTAAAGGGCCTTGTCGCTCCCCCTCTTCATGGGAGAACGACACTAAACCCTGCCTAGGCTTCATATCCGAGTCACGGCACCATTATGTCGCTCCCCCTCTTCGTGGAGGAACGACACTAAACCCTGCGCTGTTCTTTCGTCTGCTCGGCCCTCCCCGGGTTTGCTGCTGGTTCTTCCCGGGCTGGCTACCGTCCCTTCCACCTCCGTGGAAGGGCGGTTCCCCCTGCCACATTCCCCACTTCCGCGGGGGAGCGGCACACCGCCGGCCGGCTCTCTCGGGGGCTGCACAGGTGTTCCTTCAGATAGATGTTCCCCTTAGATGTTCCTGGTGCATGGTGTCTCTCTCCTCCTTTATAGTCCTCTTCCACCAATCCCAACTCTGCTACCCACACGCCGAGTACGCTGCTCTCCTCCAATCAGGAGCAAGATCAGCTCCTGCAGCTCAGTCAATCAAATTTGCGAGAGGCAGCTGCGTGGAAGTTGTTTCTCCCTTCTCAGCACCATATTGTGGGAGAGCAGATGCATAGAATAAGTCTTAATTCCAGTAACTTAGTCTAGTCCGAGTTGCTCCCCACAGGCCTAGAACCAATGAGCTCCCAATATCAATGAGTACGCTGTACCCCAGGTCTTGTTCTAAATATCACAATTCTTAGGAGATGCTTGTTGAAATATTTATGAATAGGCTGGCACGAGGTCACGGTTTACTTTCCAGTGGTTTAGCTGTGTGGATGTGGGTGTCTGTATATAGTTATTTAATGTAAGTATTTCATTATCGTGCCAAGCAATCTTTTTTCTGCACCTGACGTATCTTGAATAATGAGGCTGTGGACATGGCCTTCAACCTGGAAGTGAACCAAACCTGGAGGAACCCTCCCAAAAAGATCTAAATTACTAGACTGCCTGTGCTCATAGCCGTCCTAAAAATAGGCAGTGCTTAAGGGAAAAAAAAAAAAAAAAAAGGCAGTGCTTGCTGCATATGTCCCAATCTTCTGCTTAACACTATTGAAATCCTTTCAATTCAAATATTTTCTTTTCTTTTTAAAAAGATATTTATTTATTTGAAGGGCAGAGCAACAGAGAGAGAGAGACACACACACACACACACAGAGAGAGAGAGAGAGAGACAGAGAGAGAGAGAGATGTTACATCTACTGGTTTACTCTCCAAATGCCTACAATAGTTAAAGTTGGGCCAGGTTGAATCCAGGAGCCAGGAACTCCATCTGGGTCTCCCACATGGGTGGTAGGGACCCAAGTACCTGAGCCATCATCAGCTCCCTTCCCAGGCACATTAGCTGGGAGCTGGACTGGAAGCAAAGCACCCAGGACTGGAACATACAATGTCATATGGGATGCTGGCACTGCAAACAATGACTTAACCCACTGAGCCACAACATGACCCCAACCCAGATATTTTCATGGGAACATGTGGCACTTGACCCTTATTTGTCAAATGCACTTACTGCAACCCCATTTCCCAGCTATTTTGGTTTCTCTGACTGTGGCAGGTGGAGTTTCCATGGCTTTGGGGTGGCCAAGGACATTGTTGCACAGGGGCTTTGTTTGGGAGTTGGGTCATGCAGATTCTCACTGGGGCTCTGTTGCTTTCTACCATAGCTTTGGGCAAGTCGAATCGCCTTGCAGCACCTTAGTTTTTCAGTTGCCAAATGTAGTTGTTAGACTTGATTTTCTCCCCCGTAAATGATGATTTGGAATTTTCACCAAGTAGGGTGATAATGTCTGCCAATAACAGGTGCAGCAAGAGAAAGACAAGAATAAAATGTTAGGGGTCGGTGTTGTGGTGTGACAGGTAAAGCCGCCACCTGAGACTTCAGCATCCCAGTTCGAGTTCTGGCTGCTCCACTTCCGATCCAGCTCTCTGCTATGGCCTGGGAAAGCAGGAGAAGATGGCCCAAGTCCTTGGGCCCCTGCACCCATGTGGGAGACCCAGAAGAAGCTCCTGGCTCCTGGCTTCGGATCGGGGCATAGCTCTAGCCGTTGTGGCCAATTGGGGAGTGAACAAGTGGATAGCACATCTCTCTCTCTGTCTCTCTCTGTCTCCCTCTCTGTAGCTCTGCTTTTCAAATAAGTAACATAAAATTATTTTTGACAGGCAGAGTGGACAGTGAGAGAGAGACAGAGAGAAAGGTTTTCCTTTTTCCGTTGGTTCATCCCACAATGGCCGCAGTGGCTGACGCGCTGCGGCTGGCACACCACACCAATCCGATGCCAGGAGCCAGGTGCTTCCTCCTGGTCTCCCATGCGGGTGCAGGGCCCAAGGACTTGGGCCACCCTCCACTGCCCTCCTGGGCCACATCAGAGAGCTGGCCTGGAAGAGGAGCAACCGGGACAGAATCCAGCACCTCAACCAGGACTAGAACCCGGAGTGCTGGTGCCACAGGCAGAAGATTAGCCTAGTGAGCCATGGCACCGGCCATAAAATAAATCTTAAAAAAAAAAAGAACAAGATTTTACTGGAGGATGGGGGTGACACGTGGAATAGCAGAGGAAGCCCTCACCCCAATATACACACACAGTCCAGATAATTGTTTTTGGAATGAATCCTGGGTCAACTTGTTGAAACATGTTAAAATGAGGAGGAATAATCCTCAATTATAAGAACGATAGTTTGGTCTATAATTTTATTTTTAATTATCCTTAATTTCAGGTATAATTTTTTTAATCTAGAAGGAAAATGTGGGTTCTCAGGGGTGCAGCCATGCACATCTCCCTGTGGCTGCGGCTGCGGCTGCGGCTGCGGCTCTGTTAGGGTGGCCTGAGTGTTTGTAATACACCTGCGAGTCTATTTTAAGCTGCTCCTAAATAACTTGCCCTATCAGTAGCACTGCAACCCAGTAAATCCCCTGCTTACTCGCATGACTGGCCAATTAGACAATCACCCGTGTCCATCTATCAAAAGTGTTAGAATACAAAATGCACCGAGCATGAAATCCCATTGAAAACCATTTCATTCTCTTAATTATTCATCGGATGCCTTGGAGTCTGATCGACCTTCAAGGTCATTATTATGAACATTAATTATCACTGTAATGTGTCCATGGAAGATGTATTTCAGAAGATTTCTGTTTAGTGGACTACTGCTAATAAAAGAATTCACCATTTTATCGGAGTGTGTGTAAAGCCACCATTTTTGCTGCATGATGAGAAAGTGGGATATTGCAAGTAAACCTTCCAGAGTCTTTTTGGAGCCTGGCATAAGTTCCAGTCTGCAAACGTTCCCATGTAGAGGCCTGGAGTGAAGCAGAGAGCGGCTGCTAACTGGGGTGGGGGCTGGAGAGGGGGAGTGGGAGCTGAACTGGTGGCAGGAAGAGGTAGAAGGTTCTCTTGGCCTCCTAGCCAGTTTTTTTTTTTTTTTTTCCATTTCAGCCAACATTGGCCAGGTGCCTTCTCTCTACCATGCTCTGTGCAGGTATGGAGCAGCTTCAAGTAAACTTTCTACAGTAAAACCTGGAGGTGTGTTTTTTCTTTTTAAAACTTTGTATTTATTTACAAAGTAGACAGACATGAAGATCTATCCAATGGATCTCTCCTCAAAAGCCCTTCATCACCAACGGATAGGCCAGACCCAAGCCAGGAGGTGAGGACTCAATCCAGGTCTCCCACATGGGAGATGGGGACCCAGGTACTTGAGCCATTACCTGCTGCTGTCCAGTGTACATTAGCAGAAAACTGGACTGGAAGTGGAGTTGGGACTTGAACCCAGCAGAAGTATGGGGTAGGGGCTTCCCAGGTGGCATCTTAACCGCTGTGGCAAATGCCCACCCCTGGAAGCAGACTTTTCAGCCATTTCTTCCTCTGCCCTTGTAAGTATACAACCAACAGTGAGTGGCGGTGTGAGATGTGAACCGGTTGGACATACATGCTTCTAATGCTTAAATATCAGTTCTCCCAGCCGAGCTTTGCCAAGTGGTTCATCCCGGAACAGCTGGCCAGAAGCACTGTTTTCAGGTCCCCTCTGTATCTTCTCTTCTTCCTCCCTCCTTTTTCTCCAAAGCGCACTTCTTTCACCCTGAGTCTCAGGGCTAGGCTCGCTTAGACCAGGGACACCCCTGTGAGTGTCAGTGTGACAAAGCAATGCTGGAGAACTTCTCCCAAGGTGCCGTCCAAACAGACCCATCTGTGCTAAGGAGCTAACATGTCTGATTCTACATTCTGGAAAATGTCTGTATTTCCATCACCAACTGAAACTTTGCGTGCTCAGCTTCTATGTGCAGCAGCGGGAGCCGTGACTTCAACACGGGCACTGGGAATGCACTTGTAAACACTGAGCGAGGGTGTGCAGCTGTGAGGACAAGCTAGCAGAGTCCTCTGCTCTTCGGGCTGGCAACGCCACAATGATTTAAAATCTCAAATTCTTGGACCCTCCCTGGAGAGGATGGAGCCCTATTCTCCTGCCCTTGAGTGTGGGCTGGGCTGTGCGACTCACCTCGAACACACATGGAACAAAGAAGGGATGGTGTGTCACTTTGGAGACGTGGTGAGCTGCTGTGTCATGACAGATCTGCAAGGCCAGGAGCTGATGCCTCCTCTCTCAGTCCTGTGTGCAAGCCACCTAGGAGGCCTCTTCACATGACTGCAACCCCAGGACACATTCTGAGCCAGAACCACCCAGCTAAGCAACTGCCACCTTCCTGACTCTCAGAAATGGTGTGTTTCGTGATTTGTGATGCTTGTGATTTGAAGCTGCTACATCTAGGAGAAATTTGTTAAACAGCAATACGTCCTATATACACCTCCCTGAAGTTCGCCTTGCTGGAAATCACCTCTCCCACCCCTCCACTTGGTGGCGCTGCTGTGCAGCTGCACACCCACACAAAGTCTCACTAAGAGGAAGAGGGACATCAGGGCCGTGGCCACTGCTGCACAAATTATCCAGCTGCTCTCTGGATTCATGTGAGTTAAGCATTTTTACCTTTTAAATACACAATTCAATTCTGGTAAGCATGTAATTTTTCACAAATACTAAGGAAAAGCATGATTTGTCCCAAGAGCCCATTGATATCACACTTTATCTTATTATGATGCACGTGGATGGTTCACTCCCCTACACACATGTGGGTGAGCTTGAGGAGACCATGGATTGTATCATATTCATACCTATTCTTGAGTCTTTTTGGAGTTACCAGTGGAGAATGAATGGATACAGGAAATCCGAAAGCCCCGGGATGAAACAGAAGTGTTTTGGGTTTTAGATTTCTCAAGTCTGTTTTTGATTGCATCTGGTAGGTGGGGGTAGACAGAGTGGACAAGAATTCCAGGTAGGGGGAAGATGAGTATGCACACATACACACATACACACACATGGGCACACACACACACACACACACCATGTATATATGGCAGGGCTCCTGCAACCAGAGGAGCGTTGAGGCAATGTGATGCAAATGCTGGCAGTTGGGGGCAGGTCAGGTGGACAGTCTATGTGACAGGGCTGGTGCTGTGGTGCAGTGGGTTAAATCCTCCACCTGTGGTGCCAGCATCCCATGTGGGCACCAGTTCGAGATCCAGCTGCTCCTCTTCCCATCCAGCTCTCTGCTCTGGCCTGGGAAAGCAGTGGAAGATGGCCCAAGTCCTTGGGCCCCTGCACCCGTGTAGGAGACCCGGAGGAAGCTCCTGGCTCCTGGCTTCGGATCGGCACAGCTCCAGCCATTGTGGCCATTTGGGGAGTGAACCAGTGGATGGATGGAAGACCTTTCTCACTGTCTCTCTCTCTCTGTAACTCCACCTCTCAAATAAATAAATTAATTTAAAAAATACTTAAAAACCCAAAAAACAAACAACAGCAGCAAAAAAACAAAGTCTATGGGACCCTGAAGGCTGGCAAACTCTGTAAGAAGGAGACCCTATTTCTGTTGGGAAAAGTGATGAGTTGGGTGGGAGCCAGGGCTTCTCCTAATGGATGGGAGAGAATTCTACGTGGGCCGTTTCTGTAAAGGCACAGACATTCTTTGTTCCGACTGTCTTTTGAAGGATGTTTTATGGTAAACAGCCCTGAAAATAGAGCTGTTTCTCGCTGGGAAGCAGGGGGCAGGTTTTTTTGCTGTCCCAGATAGTAAAGGTAGTATCTGCCTTAGGCTGAGCAGGTTGCCATTTAAAAGACCGGGTTTGGAGAGATCATTGCCTACCAGTTAAGATACGAGGTAACACATCTCACGTCAGAGTACTGGGGTCCAATTCCCAGCTCTGGGTCCTGACTCTAGCTTCTTGCCAACCCAGACTCTGGGAGGCAGCAGTGATGCTTCAAGCAATTGGGTTCCTCGCTCCCACGTAGGAGACCTGGATTGAATTCCAGGCTCCAGGCACTGGTCTCCCCTACCCCCAGCCATTGGGAGCATTAGGGGAGTAAATCAGCTGATGGAAATTTCCCTCCTCTCCCCCCACCCCAACTCCCTGCCTCTCGAATAAATGAAACAATAGTGCTAATGAAAGACCAGGGTTATTTAAGCTCAGAGTTTCCTAGCTATGATGCCTATGCACTGAGGGTGCAGAATCTGCCCGGGCAGCTCCATGTTGTTCCCATGGGACATCAGGGGTAAGGAAAACTGACACAAACATGAAACCCAAGGTCACTGCTGCAAAATGAGTCATAACGCCCTTTGCTCTGATTCAGGAGACTCGTGTCTTTTTTTTTTTTTTTTTTTTTTTTTTTTTTGACAGGCAGAGTTAGACAGTGAGAGAGAGAGAGAGAGAAAGGTCTTCCTTCCGTTGGTTCACTCCCCAAATGGCCGCTACGGCTGGCGCACTGCGCTGATCCAAAGCCAGAAGCCAGGTGCTTCTTCCTGGTCTCCCATGTGGGTGCACCGGGACAGAATCCGGCGCCCCAACTGGGACTAGAACTCGGTGTGCCGGCGCCGCAGGCGGAGGATTAGCCAAGTGAGCCGTGGTGCTGGCTGGAGTCTAGTGTCTTCTGTCAGCATCCAGAAAACAGCAACAGGCTAACTGGTTAGCTGGCAGTGGGGTTAAATTCCCAACCCTGTGTAGTTCTTGACACTAATGACAGAGATTTTGATAGTGAAGATACCCATCTGACTCCAAATCTAATATTTAGAATGAGCAGTTCTCCTCAGGTGAGCAATTTCATAGAGGAAGTCTATTACTTCAATGGCTTTGTTCCAAGGACGTACTATTAGACACACAGAAGGCACCGAAAGGATCCACTGTGCATTGCACTTGTTCCGCACTCACACCAGAAATTGAAATAGCACTGTGAGCTGAATTGTGTCCTGGGTGCTTTGGCAGATGTCAAATAATCATTACTCTGCATCACAGGTTTGCAGTAAAGACATAGCGGAACTAAAACAATACTTTTCCCAGGATCTTAAAAACACCCAGGAGGCGGCTGAGGCCTAGTGGATAAAGCTGCCTCCTGCAAGGCCAGCATTCCATATGGGTGCTGGTTGAACTTCTGATCCAGCTCTCTGCTATGTCCTGGGAAATCAGTAGAAGATGGCCCAAGTGCTTGGGCCCCTGCAACCACGTGGGAAACCTGGAAGAAGCTCCTGGCTCCTGGCTTCAGATTGGCACAGCTCTGGCCATTGTGGGTATTTGTGGAGTGAAATATTTGGGGAGTGAACCAGTGGATGGAAGACCTCGCTCTTCCCTCCCTCTGGCTCTCTGTAACTCTGCCTTTCAAATAAATAAATACATAAGCAAGCAAGCCTTTTTTTTTTTTTTTTTTTTTTTTTTTGACAGGCAGAGTGGACAGTGAGAGAGACAGAGAGAAAGGTTCACCCTCCAATGGCTGCCGCGGCCGGCGCACCGCGCTGATCTGAAGGCAGGAGCCAGGAGCTTCTCCTGGTCTCCCATGCAGGTGCAGGGCCCAAGGATTTGGGCCATCCTCCACTGCACTCCCGGACCGGAGCAGAGAGCTAGACTGGAAGAGGAGCAACTGGGACAGACCTCGGCATCCCAACCAGGACTAGAACCCAGGGTGCCAGTGCTGCAGGCGGAGGATTAGCCTATTAAGCCCTGGCGCCGGCCTGCAAGCAATCCTTTTTTAAAAACACCTATATTTCATCTACTCTAACAAATAGTTGTCAGCATTTAGCACAACAGGGAGGATGGAAATAGTTTGCGTATTTCTTTGCAGGAGGATGGGCTATGTCTTTTAATAAATAAGACAGAAAATAAATCTCTGTTTCTGCATTCCTAAATTTCAAAATGGAAACCATCAAAAATCTCTTAGCAGAAACTTAGAGGTGATTTTCTTGTTGTTTTATTCCTATTTGATTTATTGAGACATTTTAAACTTGATGTGACATATTTGCCTATAATTGATATGACCTAAAGGTTGCTGATAGATGCTATATGTTAAATACAAATTTATATAATTAGAATATTAATTCTCTTCACCACCACTACTCTTTACATAGGCTTTTTCTTCATGTTCCAGAAGCTAAATTTTCTTTTCTTTTTTTTTTAAAGATTTATTTATTTGAAAGTCAGAGTTACACAAAGAGAGGAGAGGTAGAGAGAGGGAGAGAGAGAGAGAGAGAAAGAGGTCTTCCATCCACTAATTCACTCGCCAATTAGACACAATGGCTGGAACTGTGCAGATCTGAAGCCAGGAGACAGGAACTTCTTCCAGGTCTCCCATGTGGATGCAGGGACCCAAGGACTTTCCTAGGTCTTAGCAGAGAGCAGTGGCTTTACCCGTAACACCACAGCACCCACAGCGCTGGCCCCAGAAGCTAAATTTTCACTTCTAAATTATTTTTGTTACATTGTAGATGACTTTCCAAGGCTGTCCAGGCTGTCCAGACATGAATAGTCAGATTTCAGATCATTGCCTTTCTAAGTCATGTTGGAAAGGGTTTAGGATAGCCTGTTAAAAAAGCCATGTGATGGGGGCCGGCACCATGGCACAGTGGGTTAATCCTCTGCCTGCGGCACCGGCATCCCATATGGGCTAGTCCCGATTGCTCCTCTTCCAGTCCAGCTCTCTGCTGTGGCCCGGGAAGGCAGTGGAGGATGGCCCAAGTGCTTGGGCTCCTGCATCCACGTGGGAGACCGGGAAGAAGCGCCTGGCTCCTGCTGTTTCAGTCATTTGGGGAGTGAACCAGCGGAGGGAAGACCTTTCTCTCTGTCTCTCCCTCTCACCGTCTGTAACTCTGTCAAAAAATAAATAAAATCTTTAAAAAAAATGGATACAGTTATTAAAAAAAAAAAACACCATGAGGTGGGGACTGGCACTGTGGCATAGTAGGCTAAGCCTCTGCCTGCAGCGCTGGCATCCCAGGTGGGCACCAGTTCGTGTCCCGGCTGTTTGTCTTCTGATCCAGCCTTCTGCTGATGGCCTGGGTTCTGGGGCTCCTGCACCCGTGTGGAAGACCCTGGGAGGCTCCTGACTCCTGGCCTCATGTCAGCCTGGCTCCGGCTGTTGCAGTCATTTGGGGAGTGAACCAGCGGATGGAAGACTCTCTCTCTCGCTCCCTCCTCTCTCTTCTCTCTCTCTCCCTCCTCTCTCTTCTCTCTCTCTCCCTCCTCTCTCTTCTCTCTCTCTCTCTCTCTCTCTCTCTCTCTGTTTCTCTGTAACTCCTCTGTGTCTGTGGCTCTGATCTCAGATAAATAAATAAAATCTTCAGAGAAAAAAACAACAACACGTGGTGGTGCTTGGAGATGCTGGAGAATATTGAGGCAGCAAACCCTGGCCAGTGCATCCGTGACAGTCCTGGCAGGCAGCAGATGGCACACTGCAGCTTGATTATTTGATCAGAGTTTTAAAGGCGTGGGCAGACGGCCGGCGCCACGGCTCACTAGGCTAATCCTCCGCCTTGTGGCGCCGGCACACCAGGTTCTAGTCCTGGTCGGGGCACCGGATTCTGTCCCGGTTGCCCCTCTTCCAGGCCAGCTCTCTGCTGTGGCCAGGGAGTGCAGTGGAGGATGGCCAAGTTCTTGGGCCCTGCACCCCATGGGAGACCAGGAGAAGCTCTTGGCTTTGGATCAGCGTAGCGTGCCGGCCACGGCGGCCATTGGAGGGTGAACCAACGGCAAAGGAAGACCTTTCTCTCTGTCTCTCTCTCTCACTGTCCACTCTGCCTGTCAAAAAAAAAAAAAAAAAAAAGGCGTGGGCAGGGGATGGTGCAACACCTTGAAGCTAGCAAGTGTGGAGTCACCACCATTCCAGGCCTGCAGGGCAAACAGAGGGAGAGTTACTCAACCGTGGGAGGAGGGCTACCTGCCTGGAGCTGTGGCCTTCCCTAGATGGCTATGGCCAACTCGCCATGACTCAGCACAGAGATGACCACTCACTCTGACCTCTGAACTGACCTCTCTCTCCTTCCTCCCTCCCTCCAGTCTCTTGCCAATGCACCCATTAACTGAACCCAACTAGGTATCAGAGGACAAGGACACCCATTGTTGGCAGTTCCTAGAGGTTAACCTCCTGGGCTACACACAATGGAGAAGGGTGGACGGTGGATGCGGACAAACAGAAAATAACCAGTATAGTCAGTTGGACTAAAAACCTGTTTCTTAGGGCCAGCATTGTGGTATAGTGGGTAAAGCTGTTGCCTCTGATACTGGCATCCTATATGGGTGCTGGTTTGTATTTGTTGCTCCACTTTTAATACAGCTTCCTGCTAGTGCACCTGGGAAAAGTGGTAGAAGATGGCCCAAGTGCTTGGGACCCTGCCACCCATGTGGGAGTCCTGGATGAAGCTCCTGGCTCCTGGCTTCAGCCTGACCCAGCGGTGGAGTCATCTGGGGGAGTGAACCAGTAGATGGATGATCTTTCTCTCTCTGTTTCTCCCTCTCTGTTTGTACCTCTTAATTTTAAGTAAATCTTCTTAAAAAAAAAAACTGTTTCTTAAGCATGGAACTCTATTATATTCTTTTTTAAATCAAGTTTTATTGGGGCCGGTGCCGTGGTGTGGTAGGTTAATCTTCTGCCTGTGGTGCCGGCATCCCAGATGGGAGCCAGTTCTGTACCAGGCTGCTCCTCTTCCGGTCAAGCTCTCTGCTATGACCTGGGAAAGCAATAGAAGATGGACCAAGTGCTTGGGCCCCTGTACCCACATAGGAGACTGGGAAAAAGTTCCTGGCTCCTGGCTTCAGATCCATGCAGCTCTGGCCGTTGCAGCCATCTGGGGAGTGAACCAATGGAAGGAAAACCTTTCTCTCTGTCTGTTCCTCTCACTGTCTGTAACTCTACCTCTCAAATAAATAAATACAATCTTTTTAAAAAGTTTTATTTATTTGAAAGGCAGAGTTAGAGAGAGAGAGAGGGAGTGTGTGTGTGTGTGTGTGTGTGCGCGCGTTTTTCCATCCACTGGTTCATTCTCAAGAGGCCACAATGGGCAGAGCTGGGTCTAGTTGAAGCCAGGAGCCAGGAGCTTCATCTGGGACTCCTACATGGGTGCAGAGGCCCAAACACTTGGGCCATCTTCCACTACTTTCTCATGCCATTAGCAGGGAGCTGGATCGGAAGTGGAGCAGCCGGGATGTGAACTTGTGACCATATGGGATGTCAGTGACACAGACAGTGGCTTTACTCACTATACCACAACGTCAGCCCCCCATAGTATATTCTGAAGAAGGTCATTACAATTTCCTAACTTTGGTTTTTTTCTTAGCACTTTC